TATATATGGGATATATTATATATATATATATATATATATATATATATATATATATATATACGGGTACCTGGTAAGATCATTAACAATCACTGATTCTGTTTTATATAATGGTGATTTCCAGAGAGATAATTATGTTTTCCATTGGCCCTGTTTGATTCAATTACCAGGGTAACAATGTAAAACGCATATATACAGTTTATAGTTTATTGCTATCTTGAATTGATTTCAATTCTGTATTTATATTTTGATATCCTATTCCTATGGCGTTTGCGTAATATGAATGATGTGTCATCGTACTGAATGCTCAGTACGTTCCCAAGTACTTGCGAAAACGTTTAATAGGAATGATGTTTTGCCCTGCCTGACGGAAACACCATCAGAATACTAATGCAGGTACCTGCTGCAAATGTGGTCGAGTGGCTATTACAGTAGGTTAGTTTATGGATGTCATGGGTTGATTAAAACTCGAATCACTTGCAAAAAATTTGTAGCAAGTTTTTGGGAACGACAGAACATTTAGTAGGATAACATGTCAGGTAGGGCAAAATATCATTCCTGTTATAATATCGTGAACCTTTAGGCCATAATTGTTAATTAGATATGTTAAAGTAAGTTAACACAAAGTACATTTTTACAATTTGTATAATGAATATAAATAGGGAATTTAAACACGCTTATGACGGTATATAAAAGTATAAATTATAATAGTTGAAAAAATTGGCATGTCCCGTAAATTAGTAATGAAATAAAAATGTTTTTCGTTTAATGTATGAGAAATTTCTACTTTATCAAACCAAGTAACTTGAACTGTCAGTACAGGTCAGTCCATGATTCTTGGTTTAATAACATAGAAATTTCTCATATCGTATCTACAAATCAGATGAATATTTTCTACTATTCTAGTTTAATGTGCTACTCGCATCGCCTTTACTTTATTATAGCAAATATATTTCTTGATAATGTGTTAAATTGATGTTGTTTTTTTCAGTATTTTCAGAAACATCCGACGGACTCTTCTCACAAATAACAACAATTGCTTTAACTATCATATCTGGGATCTCCATATCGGTGATGTCAGCAGCACTTTGGTTATTGAGGTAGTGATCATATTTGATAATATACATGCATAAATGATGTTCTGAGTTATTTGATCTGGCTGAATTATGTAACATAAGACTATCAAAGCCGTCATCCTTTCATAGCCTTCCTTCCTTCTTGTCCTAATCCTTTCAGACCCTTTCAAAATATAACCCTTCTAGGTTTCTTCGTTCCTCTCACAATACCTTTAACTATTCCTCCAACCAACTTAAAAACCATCGGCAACAGATCAAATCTGAAACTCTATATCAAAACATGTCCATAGTCGATGGATGTTTTTTAAGGAAACATTAACTTGCAGTCTTAACGCGTGGATTTGATTTTAGCATATCATTGATATTATTATTATTATTATTTATATATTAATTAAATTATAAATACCATTAATTAACCATGAAGCTCTAAATTTATTTTACAGAATGTTAATTTAATTATGCCTGAATATTGAACGTTTGAGTCAAGTAACAATATCATATTACAGTCTCATAGCTGAAGTAACTCTTTATAGTATTTTTTCATACTTTATTTGAAATGTTTCAATTGTTTAAATAATTTATAGTAACACAGAGGTACAGGTAGATACAGGATGTGTGACTTGCTCATATATGGTTGTGATATGAGGACATTATTATGTCTAAATATTGATGTGATGTGATATGACACCACCATGCCCATATATGGGCAATCCACACAAGTTTGCCACATAAAGTGTGGATCAAGCTTAGGGCTGCACATCTTCTATTCTTTCTGATAGAAAAAAACCTTTAGTTTTAGTACTGGTACATATAGCCTGTATACATGTAAACACTAATGTTTCACGTTCATATTTTGCTAAAATCATGGATTATTTATAATGATTATTGTTTTTCAGGAAAGCAAAACAACAAATTCGAAACCTTTCAATGAACCAGAAACAAGTTGAAGATATGTACGTAAATGAAAGTCCAATCAATAATCAAGCAAATAGAAAAGATGTATCCGAAGATGTGTATTTGTATTCTATGCCAACTAAGCAACATATCTACACAGATTTGAAGACAAAATAAGCAACACGAAATTATTTACAAAATCATTAATGTAGTATTCTTTTGTCAAATTCTGAGTAATCTTTTTTTTTTCTCTCTAACTTTATTTCACCATCCTTTTCTCTGATTTTCAATCATTATCGTCAATATTATACACACAATTTGCATAGTTAATATAGATGAAAACAAGTAATAATTCAGTAAATTAAGATTATCAAAACAAATTTGAACGCAACATTACCATATTGCGGTACATATACCTTTATCGTCTTTTTTTCTAATACACAAATAACATATTTGACGAAAAATTCGGGATGACATACAGATTCTTTAATTTTTAATTTAAAAACTGGTGGCATAAACGGCAAGAAGAGTTGCAAGAAGAGTTGTTACTCCCATTTTTTTTATTATTGAAAAACTATAACTCTTTAACCACGCTCCTACTTTTTTTTGTCAAATTAACTTTGTGTCATAGTAAAGTCAGTTGTACAACATATCACAAACTTTTTTTTTTGCTCCAGAGCCTGGCCATAAGTTATTATTATTGACTGTATAAAAAGCAGCTATTGGTCAGTTGGTTGAATACTATTGTTCTTGCTTCTTGTGCTGACTTTCACCCGTTCAATCCTGGTTAGCTCCAGACATTTTTACGTTCAATTTTTACAGTGAATGATGTTTTATTCACAATTGTTTACAATACTTATTAACGGCGAGTTGATTGGCAGAGCGGTTAATCCAGAGGAACGTAACTTTTAGCTCTAATATCGGCGCTGGTTCGAACGGCTCACTCGAAAATGGTTCCGGTGGTGGAATAAGTCTTCTCGTATAAGGCCATTAAATCGTAGGCCCAGTTTTGGCTCGTGTGCACTTTAAAGAACCCTGTACATTCTTCGAGAATTACCCAGGTGTACTGCTCCATTAAGTCCCCTGTTGTTAATTGGATATGCCACGTAGGACAGAGATTAAGTTCACTTATTGGCATATCCCTGGCGCTCGTGCCTAAAGAAATGAACTGAAAAAAAATTAAAAATTAATACCTAATGATGGTCACAAAAACAGTAGACTTTTAAGCCAAGCTCCAGAGGGAAAAGGTTTTGATATGTTGTACAACTGCTTTTTCTAAGACACAAAAAGCATATTTACGAAAAAATACAGATTTTTGAATATTAGACCACTCAGGCTATAATTGAGATAGGTGCCACTTAGAGAGGTAGGTAGAAGTTCTCATATTTTTTAGACCAGTTTTTTATGGGGAATCAGAATATGTGAGGTAAAAGGGGTGTAACCTAAGAAATTTCGCGTGAGGGCGCTTTTTAAAAATGGCCGCCAAAATCCATTAAACTACATATATTGGTAAAATAAGCACAGAAGAGGTAGGTTTGACCAACTTTTGAATATGTAATGATAGGAGTAAAGTATAACTAGCTAAAGTTATTAATGTGAAGATTTCCGGAGGCAATTGAGAGCGTTTCGCCTCCAAAATTAAAGAACAACTTAATACTAGCTTCAATACCCTAAATAAATGTGTTTAATTTACAAAACATAAATGTAATAAATGCAGTTTTAGGGTGGTAAGCTAACTCACTTTTAGAAATGTAAGTAAAAATTCCCCTTTATTTTAGCCCTTTTCTGTTTTTGAAGAAAGGAAAATATCACTTCCTTACAAATATACGGTTGTTTTTCATTATTTTTGAGTACTACACAAGGTATTCCAGAAGACCACACAAATACCTACCATAACAGATTAAGATCTTTTATTCATAAATCAAACCATATGTACAATGATGATTTTAATAGATAAACTTCAGTAACTAACTCTTGTAAATAATTGTATCATTTTGTATTTTCTGTTTTATTTATGTCCTTAATTTATTCATGTTGTGGCGAAATGGTTAAGTTGTCGCACAGTCCAGTATTGATTAAATGAGCTATAAAATATGGGAGCTCAAAAAATTCCTAAAAAATCCAAATTTCACTATAGATCAACAGTTAAATGTCTTATTAATCATATCCCAAAGTATTAGTTCTGGAAGTGGTTAACAAATTGTTTATTTAACGTTATTTTTCATAGTTCATTCTATTAAAGGGGGGGGTGCGGGGATGAAACGATTGATTTTTAATTTAAAATAGAGGGATGGGCGACCACAATGACGGTGACGGCACTCGATTTTGGAGCGCGGTATTCGAAAACGAGGCTCGTGAACTGGGTCCCAAAAAAAAA